ATCTCCAGGCAAAAGGGGGACACTGAATATTAGGAAGAGTCCCTCCCTGCACTTCCTGTGTCTAGTTCACTCCCATCGCAGGAAGCCTCCTTGGAGCTGTTTGCTGAGGCCATGTGTAGGAAGGCCAGGGTGGTTGGTAGCGTCCGAATGCCCCTCTTTGGGCACAGGAAACCAGAAGGATTACTGATGGTTCTAGGTGAATGCTGCAGAAGCCTTGGGCTCCCGCCCTCTGCCCTCAGAAATAGTCGCCAACTGGGAGGTCCCTAGGAGTCATTTTAAACAGGATTCTGAGCTGGTGTGAGACAGTTTTGTAGGAAGTAATTAGGAGGAAGAGGCAAGGTCCTGGGGAGAAAAACAAAATGATAGAATCTCCAACTGCGGTCACAGGATGTATCTTCACGCCCCAGCGCTCCCAAACCCAGATTCTTCATGCCCAGAAGCCACAGGCATCTGGGCCCCTGTGTTGTCCCTCCTCCCTCGAGTCTCATCTGCAGCCCTGCTTGCTTGCCTGGCCCACCCCTATTCATCCCACCTGATCCCAGACATTGCCTCCTCTGAGAAGCCTTCCAGGACACCCATGCTCTCCTTCACACTTCTTGTAGCAGCTTGTCCTCCACCAGGATGCTCAGGCCACGGAATCACAACTGTCTGCAATTTGTCCTCTTCCCTGTGAGCTCCCTGAGGTCTCATTCATCTTCGCTTTCCTGGCATTGTGCCTGGCACAGAGTCAGCATCAGTGAATGTTTGAGGAATGTGTGCAGTTGCTGCTCTGGCAACATGCAGTGAGAGGTGTAGCTCTGCTGATCTTCACATTAGTCCCTGATTCTACCTTCACTTTCCTCACTGCCAACAGTAAGCCGGCATCAGGGGTAGCTGAGCTCCACCCCGGGACACCTCCCACACCCTCACAGCAGACTACCCCAGCTGGGAGAGGAGATCCCTCTGCTTCACCTCCAAAGCACTCCCTGCATGAGAAGCACATCTCAAACCAAGTCCGCAAGAATGTGCAGAGCACGGCAGGAGGGAGGTGGGTGAGGGAGTCACTCATGAGAACCCAGGGTACAAAGATGACCCAGGGTATTGGGAGCCAAGTGCCTGGTCAGTGATAAGGACAATCAGTGTCTAGGGAAGGAAACCAGGCCCAGGAATCAGCCTCATTCTCTCTCTCTCTCTCTCTCTCTCTCTCTCTCTCTCTCCTCCCTCCCTCCCCTCCTCCCCACTTCCCCACCTGTTACATTCTGGATGAGAATAATAAGGTACCGGGAGCCAAATGTCTGACTTCAGCCCCCAGCTGAGTTGGGCTCAATGTGTGGCCAGCAGATGTCCCCAGAACCCCTTGCTCCATGTCAGGTGGCAGTGTAGTTAAGAATAATAGGCCAGGCACTGGTGGCTCACGTCTGTAATCTTAACTACTTAGGAGGCTGAGATCAGACTATCATGGCTAGAAGCCAGCCCAGGGAAGACAGTCCTGTGGGATTCTTATTTCTAATTAACCAACAAAAAGCTGAAGGTGGGGGTGTGACTCAAGTAGTAAAGCGCCAGCCTTGAGGGGAAAAAAAAGCCAAATTAGAGCATGAGGCCCTGAGTTCAAGCCCCAGTCCTAGCACATCATAAGAGAAAAAATAATGACATCATCATTTGTCCACTGATGAGCCAATGAGAGGCAAATGTTTCAGTGACTGACTTCAGCATGGCAATTTTCTCATCACCCCAGTGTTGTTCCTGCCAGCCTGTTCTTTGAAGTTTCCCTACTTACCCGGTTCCAACATTCACAGCCATCTTGGACCCCCTTCCCAGCACCATCAGATTGTGCCCCATTCTGAGAAGTACCTAAAATCTAGCCTTGATCCTGTCACTCTCTGCCTCTAACCTTCAGCGACTTCCTATTGGCTATGTATCCTGGTATTCAAAGATGCCAATTCTCAGCCTTAACTCCTTGCTCCCTGTGTTCCAAGGTTCTAGGCCTGTTCCCCCTACCTAGACAGGCCCTCCTGGTCCCTCTCCATCTGCTGAAGTCTGTCCATCCTTCCAGGCCTGCACACATGGGCCCCTCTTCTTGTCCTGACAGCTGTCTGTGCCTTCTCCCTCTTTCGAGGAGCCTCTTCCTGGGTAAGAACTTCTCAGGGACAGAACACAGCACTGGACACATGAGAAGAATAAGTGTTGTACAGCACACGAATGAGCACAGCCTTCTGCTTTCCTACTATGTGCCTCACCTCTGCCAGGTACCAAGGATACAAAGGCAAAAAGGCCTTTACAGTAATAGCAGCCCATGGTGTCGAAGGTATTGAAGCCACAAGTCCATTCATCTGGGAGCTGGCTTGCTGGTTGCCTCTGTGTGTGTGTGTGTGTGTGTGTGTGTGTGTAGAATACAGACCATTGTAACACAGGCCTCAGCTGAAGGTTCTTTGATAATCCAGAGAGAATCAGCCTGTTGTAATCACATCTCCTAGCAGTCCACACCTGCTGTCTTTAGGATACATCGGAGGCTAAGTCTGTTCACCTCGGAGCTTGCTCCTTCATGGCCCTATGTCTTCCTGGATGTCTCCAGAGACCCCAAGGTTATGGGCAATCCTTGGGGGCAATTAGCTGGTCCTGATGAAGGAGCAGATGGATTCGCTGTTTATTCTCCTCCTCACTGGCCCACTGATCTGATGACCTCAGCGCACACCAGCCCCACAAGACCTCTGCCAACTGCAGAGCTCACAAGATCATCAAATCCAGCCTAAAATCACATATTTTATTGGTATTCTTCATTGACAATAACCATATGTGCTAGTTCCACACCTATCACCCTCCCCAAGGTCACCACCCACTGATCAGTGTTGAAGGAACTGACCTCTGCAGGTCTACCTTTCATTTCCTTCTGGGGTGCCAGGTTCACGCTGCTGAGCCTCCAGGAGGCTGGGCATGGCAGGACCTGCTTCCAAGCTTGAACTTCAGAGTCTAGAGAAAGCGGAGGTCTGCGTTGTCCACGCCCCTCCTCTCCTCAGCCCTCCCCTGCTGCTCAAGTGTGACCGTGACCCCAGAGTTGGGAATGAGTGACACCCCCAGTGATTCCTCCACTGAAGAGGCCTCCCCCTGCCATCTCCTTCCCCTCCAAGTGGCCTGTCCCTTGACCACCAAGATGGCAGAGTGACCATTTGTCAACAGGGTGGGAGTCAGTGCATAGTGGCAAGGGGTCTCCAATGGCAGGGATCTTGTCTTCCTGTTTGTCAGTGCTTGAGGCTTGGCCTGTAGTTGGTGCTTGATAAATACAGGCAAGATGAATGAAAGGATGACTGCACAAATGAATTCAGGGAGGAAATATGAGCAGTCAAGCCATACCACATTAGCCCTCTAGGGGACGTGAAGGCAGGGCCTAGGTAAAGTCTTCTGAGCTTTGCTCAAGAATTCTAGGCATTGTCCAACAGTGGTTGGAGTCCAGGTGGCCACCCATGCAGGGGTGGGCGGCCTGTAATGATGTAATGATGCCAGATTGGCCTAGGGACCCAGTCAGGAGTGGGGGCCCTTGTGTTGTTCCCCATTCCCTCATATGCCCCAGGGGTCTGGTGCTCTGGGTCCCAAAACACAAAACACTGCCTGCATCCAAAGTTAGTGACAGCATTTGGATAGTCTGGCAATTTTCAGGTTCACATTCTAGACACTGCCATATCTCAGCCTTCACTCCCCAAACCTCTTCCCTTAGAGCTGAGCATGACTTTCGGGCTTTGCTTCTCTTCCCACAGATGCCCCGCCCTGACCTGACACATTGTTTCACCCCCTTGCCCTCAAATGCTGCCCCGCTCCCCCACCAGTCACTATTAATACCTGGCTAGTCCTCTCTTGGTGGTTGGGGCCTAAGCCTTTGGGTGATTTTCAGACTCCTCCCAGGGCTATCCTAACCTCAAAGAAAGCAAATAGCTCTCAGGCATCTCTGCAGCTCTGGCCCTAGAGCCCAGCAGTGGCAAAGAAGACACAGGTATCTTGGAGTAGGAAGGGACTCTAAGTTCATCCAAAACAAGGTTATGCAGAAATCTCTTGCACAACATGTCTGAGAGACCATTTCCTAGATGCTTTAAATACCTCCAGCGGTGCAGCACCCACTCTCTCCCCAGGTAACATTCCAGCATAGAACAGCTTTAGCTGCTAGAATGTCCTTTATACAGGACATAAATGAACCTGTTTGCCCCTTCTACTGTCCCCTCCCTTAAGCTTTCTTCTTCTATATCCGTCTCTTGCTCTCTTTCTCCTCTCTTCCTCCCTCTTTCTCTTCTATGTAGCTATGCAGTTACATGCCTCTCTCATTTATCAGTATCTCCTCTTCTCTCTCTCTCTCTCTTCTTCCTTCCTTTCCTAACACCTGACCAAAAGCCCAGAGGTTGGAGACTGAAGGCAGAGGCTGGAAGGGTGCCAGGGGAAGGAAGCATCTAGCCACATCCTGGCCTAGACTAAGGTGCCCACCTGAGACAGGCTGACAATAGCAAGCCATGAGTTGCTGCCTCCAGAGAAAGAACGTTGAGCCGGGGGGTAGACAGTAAGTACCTGTGCTGTGTTCCTCCTCGCTGCCCTCCATCTGATAGACGGGGTGTGGACACATATCCCTTCCCCCATCCAACTCCCTAGCAGGTGGCAGGGCTGACTTGGCTGCCTCTCACACATGGCCGTCGGAACATTTGCCATTCTCCAGGTCCTGGGAGCAGCAGTAATGAGAGGGAAAGAGCTCTAGAAAGAGCTTGTGGCATGAGACCGTAGAGTGGATGGGCCAGGCAAAGGGGGAAGGAAGAAATCTTCCAGGCAGAGGCATCTGAATAACAGCCAGTCGGCTGGCTATGCCTGGGTGGTCAGTTTTCCTCTTGGTCACCATCCAACCAGCTAGTGCTGTGTTCTGTGGGTTGAAGACCCTAGAGTGAGAGGACCTTACCAGCCTGGAGTTGTTGTGGGTCATGGTGGAGACAAGGTGCCATGGTCTTGTGTGCAGGAGGAATGGAGACACAGAAACGACCAGAGTACCTGCCCTGCTACTTGTCCTGCTGCTTAGAGCTCTCGCTTCCAACATTGAACATGGGGACCAGCAGGCCCAGCAGCCATCTCTTTCCAAAGACCTCTTGTAAATTCTTGCGCCAAGGCCGGGCACTGACAGCCATCCCCTTTCGAGCCTGGTGGCGAGTCTGCCCTCGGAGGATCAGCAGCAGCTGGTGACAGCAGAAGCCAGCACAGGCCAGGCCCACAGCAAACCAGAGGTAGAGCATGAGGATGACGAACATTTCAGAACCAAGGACAGCGCCTGGTGGGTGGGGGAGGGAGGGAGAGATCAGAACCACTTTACACTCAGGCCACGTAGGGAAATGCAATGCCAGCAAGGCGCTTTCTACCCGGGTGGGGGAGAGGGGAGGGGGATTAATGAGATAGAAGCTACATTTTGTAGCAATCTCAGCACTGCAGCCAGCCAGAGGAAGGATGAACTAGTTGCTACAACTTTTCATTAGTGCTGAGGTGAGAGGGCGAATTGGGAGCCTGAGAAGGGAAGGGCACACAGGGGAGCTCAGCTAGGAGAGCCCCAGCTTCTCCAGACCAGATCAGCCTAGGTTGTGAGAACATGTTTCTCTAGAGACAGAAACTGCACGCCCCCCCCCACACACACACTGTTTTCAGGTTTTCTCTAGGAGAGAGAGGGGTGAGCTGAGGACCCTAGAGAGGCAGCTAGTGTCTGGGTAGCTGTCTAGACTTCAGCACTCTCTCCCTGGGAGAGGGGGGACAGCGGCTGGGAGCAATGTCTGGGAGGACTCTGGAAAGTGACAGCATGATGGAGAACAGGACCTCGTCATCAAGAAGAAGCAGAAGTCACAAGCTCTGCCTCAAGGGCAGCACAGAGCAGAGCACTGACTTAAGAGAATAATTCATTCATGAATGTTAACTAGAGGACCAGAACACTCAGCGAGAGCTGTGCTGACACAGGCTAGAAGAGAACCCCAAAGTGATCAGTGTGGTCCCTTACTGTGGGGCAACACCACCCCTAAACTCCTCTAAACCAAACACTCCCTATGATCACTTTTAAACATCCACACACTGTTTCAGATTTTGGGACATTGGTCCGTGGTAGGTTTGTTGGGTAGACTAAACATAAGTTTCTTATGTTCTCTGGGTTTTAGTTAGCTCATCTGGGTGTAAAAACATGATTTCACAGGGATTGCAGGATGAAGCAAACAGGGTACAGATGGGTGGGCATTCCAGTTTTCACTCAGTGCAACACTCGTTTGCCAGAGGTCTTTAAAAAAAAAGGGGGGGGGAGTGGGTGGGGAGGTGCACACACGTGCCAGTCCTGAGGCTTGAACTTGGGTCTGGACATTGTCCCTTAGCTTTTTTTGCTTAGGCTGGTGCTCTACCACTTGGGCTATACCTCCATTTTTGGCTTCATGGTGGTTAATTGGAGAGAATAGTCTCACAGACTTTCCTGCCCAGGCTGGCTTCAAACAGTGGTCTTCAGATTTCAACCTCCTCAGTAGCTAGGATTATAGGCATATACCACTGGCACCTGACTTATTTCATTTTCTTTATTTTCTTTTTTCATTTTTGTTGATTGTGGGGCTTGAATCCTGGGCCTGAGTGCTGTCCTTCAGCTCTTTAGCTCAAGGATAGCGCTCTACCACTTGAGCTACAGCGCCACTTCCGGTTTTCTGGTGGTTTATTGGAGACAAGAGTTTCACGGACTTTCCTGCCCAGGCTGGCTTTGAACCATGATCCTCAGCTCTCAGCCTCCTGAGTAGCTAGGATTACAGGCATGAGCCACTGGCTCCCAGCCTGACTTATTTTATAGAGGAAGAAACTACACCCAAGCATTCAAGTTTAATTCGTGAGACCCTCATCCTGGATTTAAAATCCTGGTTGCGCTGTAGCTTTAGCTATTATAGTAAAGACAGCTACTTGATATGCTCAGTAGCCAAGGCAGTGAGCTCAGAACAGAATTCAAATCCCCTCTATAGCCCTTTGCTCCCCATAGGGCCACCCCTTCTCTAGGGAGGTTTTCTTCAGCAACACTACCTCTCGGCCTATTCTACCCCCCTGCAAATCTCAGCATCCTGTTTGCCCCAGCCCATCTCTTCCCAGGTCTCCTAGGCCCCTATTCCAGACCCCAGAGAATTCAGCAGCGTGAGAATGGTCCAGTCTGAGCAGGCTTGCTCATTAGCAGCCTCTTTTTTGCTCATCCCTAGGAGCTTTTGACAGGTTTTTCTTTGCATAGTTGGAGACAAATAGCTCCAGCTGTCCAGGGAATAGAAAGCTCACTGAGAGCTGGCGTTCACAGTAGCCCCTCTGCTGGTATGGGGACAGCAGTGGGGCAGGCTCCTGCGCCATCCCCTGACCCATTTCCTCCTTGTCAGTCCAGATTAGCTTGAGCAGCCATGTGCAGAAAAGGATCCTGGGGCCATGGTACCCTTCGGGCTGAAGGAATGCTGATGGGCAAAAAGGGACCATGGGATATGAGAACATCAGAGCTGTCAAGCTCAGGCCTGCCTTGCAAGTCAGCCTCAGGAACAAGCCTGAGCTGATGGAAGCTGTTTCTCATAGGTCTTTTTTTTTCTGGCTCTAAATCAAGGCAGGAGGAAAAGACCTTGTGGCCTTTCCCTTGGCCCCATGCAGCAGCTACAAAAGGCTATTCTGGGTTCCTGTTTTCTCTCAAAGTGTTTGAAGTTACGGAGCCTGACTGCTTCAGGTTTTCTTAACTTTAATAATAGTTCCACTTCTTTATGAGAACCAAGAATTTTTTTAAGGGCCTAAAAAGCTTACATCATTCAAAGTTCTCTGTCCCTGCCTCTGACCAACAATCTATGACACTTTTGATAGATGGTCACCCAGCATCTTCCTTAATATATCTAGGGACAAGAAGCTTCCTCCCTTCCAAAGGGGCTCATATTTGTCATGAAGCAGAACCAGGAGGCAGCCCAGAGAGGTAATATGGCTCACTGGGAAGAGAGAACTTCGAAGGCGCCAGTGCAAGGCTTTATGGGTCTAAAACAACTTCATCTGGCTAAGCCTTTGGTTTCTGAGCCTTAAGACATACAAAAATACCTACCTCACAGATGTGTCATGGATGGATGGATGAAATGAGATGTACCCTGTAGAGTGTTGAACAAACATTGGTCAGTCCCCTTTCCCTCCTACTGGACTCTCCACTAGGTATCCACTGGTATACTCAGATATCATGACATATATGAAGTGATGTCACCTCCATTCTCCAGAAAAGAAGGGAGTTGAGAGAGATGACATTTGCCTATACTGGAGCCCCAATGCCAGAAGAAAACACAACTGTAAAGTCTGACCAGCTGGCCTCCTCTGTCTCTGGTATCAGCTGAAGGCCTGGATCGGCAGCCACTTCACTTTAGAAGATCTCCCATTTTTAGCTCTCGGGGCCCACATTCACAGCTGTCTCGTGCTCTGGCAGCAGATCTGACTCTGGGTCGGTACCAGAGTTGGAGACAGATCAATTCCAATCAAACAACATGTGCCTTCCTACTCCCTCCTGCTCTCCTGAGAGATGAGAGAGGATGGGCTCTCAATGGTTTGGACTGGAGGTTTGGGAAAGAAGAGAATGAAGGGGGACTCTGAACAAAGATGTGTACAAGGGGGAAGAAGAGAGGATGGCAAAGTTGAAGGGTCAACAAAGGAAATGAGAGAGCTGGAGATGAGCAACCCTGGCCTCTTTTCCCACAGACGGGCACGGTGAGAGAGTCAAACTCATCCTGATATGGGAACATGGATCTGGCCCTAAGGTGGTCACTGACCAGCTGTTTTCCCACTGGATCAAAGCAGGGATTTTCTTTCTTTCTTATCTTCCAAACCAAGCACATATGGACAGGCCTCCAGCCCAGACTTAAATCAAACCATTTAAGAATCTCCTTCTGGAACCACCCATTTTTATGGTTAGTGTAACTACTTGGAAAGGGATGTGCAATCAGGTTCTTTGGCTCTTCTCATCCCTCCACCTGTCTTTGCTCACACCCCACCCCACAGCCCGCCCACCTACCCTCCCCCATCCTGGTTATTTTGGTCTTGGCAGCCTCCTATGCCAGCACTGAGATCCAGAAGGCCTGAGAGCTCTGAGTTCTGGGCCTAGCTCAGCCACCAGACACCCAGCATCCCCCTTGTCTGGGTCCTCCCTGGGTCTCTGCGTTCCTACTGCCAAATGGCACAATAGTTCCATGCCTGGAAAGAACTGAGGCTGTAGCCATAACAAAGGTGGAATGATGTGGCTCCTCTAGAGTGGAGCAAAATTTGTATAAATGTCCAGCCCAGGTCAGTCCAGGTGCATCAAAACAGTCTTGGGTGCTGAGGGAAAGTAGCTGTCTTTGTTTGCCCTAGAAGCTCATTGTATTTAGAAATATATTCTCTTCTTATTCTGGTGAAGAAGAATATTGGCTTATGGTTTCTGGACCCGGGGTGAGACCAGTGACAGACACACAGGAGTAAGGAGACTCTGGGTAAGCCCTTTAGTCCTATCCAAGTCTGTTTCTTCAGAATGAAGTCAATGCCATATCTCTCTCTCTCTCTCTCTCACACACACACACACACACACACACACACTTGTGTGCTCACTACCAATTGTAGGAATCAAATTAGATTCAAAGGCCAGGAATGGAAGGAAATTGAAGTAAAGGCAAATTTCAGGGGCAAGTAAAACAGTAAGGGTTGTCACCAGGAGCTAAATCTCCCATCAGGTCACATTCCTGGTGGCATACTGAAGTACAAGCCTCACCTGGGCACCAATGTGATGACCCATATGCCTGGCACTAGAGGTTCAGGCCCAAGCTCCAGATTGTGGACATGGAACCATGAAGCATGGTTGCATCTCTGACCAGTTTCCCTGCTCTGAGCCACCTCCAGGCAGCCAAAGTCTGGAGGGCAGAAAGGAGCACATAGCATGGTCTGGTGTCAAGTTCCGTCTTATGGTGGTTGGCTAGTAAGACCCCTGGAGGTCAAAGTCCTTAGGGGAATATGTAAGAAGGCCTGGGATCCTGACCAAGGAAGGTCATAGCATGAGCTATGTGCAGGAATGTTTCCTGCACACAGCAGGTGCATGGCTGGGTGACAGGCAGGGGAGGAGAGGGGCAGGAAGTGTTGTCAGGTAAAATACAGCAGGTCCATTTAATTTGAATTTCAGATGTCCTTTGTGTAACTATGTCTCTGCAATATTGGGACATAATTATACTAAATACTGTTTATCCCACATTTTAATGTCAGTGGATTGGGTTGTCTGCTGACCTTGCCAGCGGAAGCCCACTCACCGGAGAAGAACTGGCTGATGGAGGTGGGCAGGAGCGTGAGGAAGGCCAGGGGATGGGCGAAGGAGATGGAGAGGACGGCGGAGATGTAGGCCACGCCAGCCACCATGGAGTAGAGGCAGGCTAGGGAGGTGTAGAGACAGAACAGGACGAAGTTGCGCATGTTCCTACTGCCGATGCAGTTGCCGGTGAAGAAGCAATGGTGGTCGTGCCTTAGTGTGACCCGGGCGCACACTCGGCAGAAGTGGGTGCTGGGCGGGGGACACTGAGCCCTCCTGGATGAGGTCCCCTGGAAGGTGCTCAGGTCATCCGGAGAGTTCTGGATGACCAGGACATAATTGCCCAAGGCGTTGGCAGAGAGGAATAGGAAGAGCGCCCCATGGAGCAGGGCGGGCGAGAAGAGGTGGGCAGCGGCGGGGTCCTCCCGCATGCTGGGCAGGAAGAGGAAGAGCTGCAGGACGAAGGTCACCAGGGAGATGCACAGGAAGTAGGCAGGGGCCACCACGTTGAGCAGCCGCAGGGCCAGCATCCTCGATTACATTCCTGTGGGGCACAAGGTGAGGGGAAGACTTACTGCGGACTTCCAGGTGGGGGCGTCCTCGTGCGCTCCCGAAGCGGGGGCTTCTTGGGTCACTTTCCCTATCCTGGGTCCAAGCAGGGGAGAAAGCCAGGGATCCCAGCAGGGCCTGCAGCACCTGGATCTGGCGACCCTGGTGCCCTACAGCTATGGGCTCAACAAGCACCTTGGGGAGAGGAGCTGCGTTTGTGGTCTGTGAGGGTTGTGGGCTGAGCGATGGGGCTGCGGCCCCCTGGAAACGAGCCTAGCTTTGGGGTTTCAGGTTCAGACATCTCTTGGAAAAGAAAGTGAAGGATTGAGGGGGATGAAGGCAGAGGCAAAGTCAGTCATTCGACTGACTGGAGTCCTGCTTCACCCCTCCTTCCTCTATCCCCAGATCCCCATCTTGGGGATATTGAGGGACCTCACAGATTACCCAAGCTTCTTTGGAGGTATGTGGCAGGGGGCGTGGTGTGTGTGTGTGTGTGTGTGTGTGTGTGTGTGTCTGTGTCTGTGTGTGTGTCTGTGTACACACACGCAGCCGCTGCCACCTGGTTTTTCTATTAAAAAAAAACAATCAATTAAAACAATCGATACATTGACGCCTAGTGGAGGTGGAGGCGCAGCCGACGAGCCTGTGCGGTTGGGTGCTGCTTCAGCCCGAATTGTCCTCCATCCCCAGCCCGAGCCCCGCCGCTGCCGCCCCTGGGGCCGGTCCAAAATTCGAGCCTGCCTCCCGCCCTCCCCGACAGAGACGTCCGAACAAACCCCCTGGCACCGGAGCCCAAGCCCGGCCTGGATGGCCGCTTCTTGGCCAGCGTTTGCTGGGACCGGCGCCCCCCACGCCGAGCGCGGCCTCCCCCCACGGCCCCGGTTCCCGCCCAACTTCGGAAGCCGAGAGGAAATCAGCCCCGCGCGCGGGAGAGAACTTTTCCAAGGTCTAAGGAACCGGCCAGGGGGAGGCGCGAGAAAAGTTCTGGGAAGGCGGCGGCACCCAGGATGGACGGGTGCCATGGGGCCTCAGGCCTGGCTGTCCCGTCCAGACCGAAGCAATCCTTGCTGCAGGTGACGGTATTGCTATCTCCTCTGCCCTCCGGGGCCCCGAGGCCGCGGTGGGGCGCTCAGGCCTCTCTGCAGCCGGGGTGCAGCCGCGGGGCGCGCCTGGAGATGGGAGCTGGGGGCTCGGCGCCGGCCCTAGCCGTGCGCCCCCAGAGGCTGCAACGCCTCTGCCCACCCCGGAGGGCCCTGGGTCCCGGGCTCGGGCGAAGCAAGTGTCTTCCCCGCGCCAGTCGCCAGGGGGGCGCGGGAGCAGCCTCCAGATGCGGCTAGGAAGGCGGAGGGCAGGGGCCGGCG